TTTCAATTATTATAATGTATAATTTTTATAGTTTTAAAATATTAATTTATTAATAATACTATTTCAAGTCAACTCGAATCAAGTCGAGTTTGAGTCGAGTTTAAATCGAGTCGAGTTAAATATTTAACTTGACTCGAATTTGATTTGACTCGCAAATCATTGAGTCAAAAAAATATAAACTCGACTTGATTTAAACTCGATTCGGCTTATCTGACTCGTGAGTTAACTCGATTCATCCGGAACTCTACACTACATCATCTGCAACATATTTACCATTTACCTTAACATGAGCTACTATTTGGTTAACAGATTTATTATCCTTTCCATAATAATTAGAACAAAAATCACATATTTTCTGACTTGATCTTTCTAAATCTAAAAGTGTGTAAGTTAGTTCTCTCATTAATTATCTACTTACCTCTATTCTAGCAACTAACTCTTGGATTTGGCATTTTTTGTTTTCCACCAATTGATGGAATTCAGTTTTTAATTTTATCCTTAATTGTCTAAATTTGCTTTGCTTTTTAGGTAAAGCAGGTAAATCCTTTTCAGCTAAATGCAGTTGATTTTGCAATCCTTTGTTTTTTTCTGTGAGATTTTTATTTCGTGATTCTTTTTCTGAAATTATCTTATTAGATACCTCTACTTTTTCCCTTTCTTGTTTTAGTTCTCATTCTAATTCACCAATTCTTGCATCTTTATTCTCAATTATCTTACTAGAAATTTCTAACTTTTGGTTTTTCTCTGCTATCTCATTTGCTGATGCTTCTTTCTGAGTTCATCTTTCTTTTCCTCCTGTTTGTAAAGCCTCTAAATGAATTTCATTATCTATTTCAGCCTTCTCTGCTCTTGCTTTTCATTTTTCAACAAGAAGTTTATTCTTTTTTAACTCTTTTTTTAACTCAGTATTCCCTTTTTCTAAAATAGCATTCTTTTCTTCTAATTTCTTATTTTTGTCATAAATAAAACTAAAAGAATTGGCATTAGTTAGTGTTCACTCAGTAAAACCTTTAACAACATTTTCAAGAGTGAATTGATTGTCAAAAATAACTTTTTCAACTCCATTTTCTTTTTGAATATTGACTCAATTATCTTTGGATCAAAAATGTTGTTCTAAAGTCATTAAAGTTTCAGCAATTTCTGAACTTTCATTTTCCTTAACTTTGTCAATAGTATTTCAAATTCTTAGTTTAAAATCATCTTCTTTATTTTCTAATTGCTTTTTTAGTGTTTTTATTTCATTTAATAGTTCTTTATTTTCTTTTTGTTATTCATTTATGATGTTTGTCATGATTTTCTTGTTTTTCTTTTTAATTAATGAAAAGATCTGCACAGAATTTAGCCAATTAGAATTTTCTTTCATAACGTCGATCATTACAGGGTATTATCCCTGGTTGAATTTAGTCAATCAGAATTTCTTCTAGAATTTTTCATATATATATATACAGTGAGTCTCGATTTAGCGGACCTCGATTTAGCGGATTTAGAGGTTTAACAGATAAATTTTCAAAACCAAATTTTTCTATAATTATTTTATCTTAATTTAACGGATTTAACAGATTTTCATATATATTCAATTTAGCGAATATTTTTTAAAAATCCATATATGTCACTTATAATAAAATTCTCTCAATATTACAGATAATGATGATCATTGTCTTTTTTGGATAGCATAATTTTATAATAAGCGTATAATAAATAAGAGTAATGATGCATTATTAATATTAAATATTAACAACATTTAATCGAACATATTGTTAACTATTTCTTGGTAATGACACTTATATAATGTCATTTTTTTTTATTTCTTTAAATACTGACGAATTTATCAAAATCTTGAATTCGAAAAAGAAATGACGGAGCAAGAAATTGTAAACATAGTGTTAGGGTAACCTGAAGTTGAAGATAATGGAGATATTGATAAGATAAGTGAGCTAATTGTAACAAATACAAAAGCTATAAATGGTTATACTACAAAAAGATTTAGAAGTTGATTCTCAAATAATTATTAAAGTTAAAAAGAGAAAATTTCTTATAGAAGCACCCAAGAAGCAAAACAATGTCACATTAATAAATTTATTATTATTATTATTATTATTATTTATTATCTGTTATATTTTGTTTTTTATATACAAAATTATTTTAAATAAAAAAATTTTTTTTTGTATATACGCTGTCAACGGAGCGATTGACCAGTCATAATGAAGTCACGTGGATGACACAATATGACGATCTTTTAATCCAGAATTCTGAGAATACTGAGAATCCTGCGAATTCTGAAAATACGGAGGATCTACG